GGAGCAATTTGACCATCCCTGAGATCTAAAAAATAAGAGAGTTTGCAAAGCAAAATGCACAGAGCACGGAGGACTCTATGTAATCTCACATGTACCAAATTCTGAGCTTCCTAAGTCATGATCTTCAGGTCATGTAAGGTCAAGCAAGGTTAAACTCTACATAGGTGTCCAATGTGCCCTCAGGTCTCTTCTCGCGGTCAACTTTAACGTAGATACCTATTGCAAGCAAAATGCCACTGGTGGTTACATCAAGTCAATGACCTTATTTGACCCTAAGGAAGGAATACTTACTAAAAACCTTCGGATTCATTTTCATGGTTGAATTTATTATCGGCGCCAAATGATATCCTAAGAGACATGCTCCACAAAATAAAAGATAGATTGAGGCCATTCTAGGTTGATGACCTTCCATGACATTCATGAACTCAAACTCCACAATAGAACATTTCCTGATGACATTGTGATCCAGAAGTTGGAAATAAGCGTCAAAAATATCAGATTAAACAACTTTTGCAGTCATACAGCGCTTAATAAACCTTGCAGCGTTACAATAAACCTTGTAGATATTTTCAATCTAGGCCGTTCGAATCCCAGCTCGTGCTAAGTACAGCGACGTAACCGCCGCAAAAAGGGATCGCCGGTGGACGATGCCTGTTTACCACTGTTTTCAGGGCTTTAAGGACAAGGTGTATCGTCAACGGAGACAGCACTTCTCCGAGATCGCCATGAACCACCGCCAGTGAGTCTGGAGCTCACTTCGTCACCAATCTATTTAGCATGCTGAGCATTTGCTTCTGATCTCCACAGCATCTCGTGAAACCCATTATAGCTTCATGGGACCGGAGCACGCTTCTCGGCGTTTATGTTCCCTTTCGCGTGTTTTCAGTCCTGAAAGCATGTGCTATTGGTACCCTTTGTTCTGTATTAACGTTGCTGGTGCCAAAAAAAAAAAAACAACTCCATACGGAATTTTACGAGGGAAGTCACTCAGATTACAGTCATTCTGGCCCTGGTCATGCTAATTTGCCACGAATCATCCCAACCCCCAATCCTTTCACACAGGGGGCACCGAAATTCAGCCCTATTCGAATTTCATTCGGAGTAGTACATAGTAGTGCAGTATGGCGTCATTTGACTTGCAGTGTTGCTGACAACCAAGCTCAGCGCTCTGACGCGACGACCCCGGCTTTCAGCGACAAGCCCATCCCCCGCGTGGAGTACACCGAGGAGGAGACGAGGACATGGTGAGCATGATGCAGGTCGAGGCCGGACTGTAACAGGACAGTGCGCCACACTGCCCTCCGAGCCCAGGTCGGTGAACGGAACTTAAATCACAATGGTTCAACCCAATGGCCTATCGCGCCTCTGACTTTCGATGTGGTTGGACCAAATCACCCGTCGCCTTCGACACTCAGTGCGGTCCTCCCAATACATAGAGACAATACATCAGAGGAACGCCCCGACGGGAATGGTTTGGAAGTCATTTCCGATGAATTTAAGGCAGCATTACGTGCCAGTGCCGGCGCAGACTTTGCCGGCGCCGCGCTGTCGCTGGTATCACACGGCATCAATCGCGTCCGCCAAATCCGCCAACGTCAATCGCGTCTTCCTGTTCACTGGCATGTACTGAAACGAGGCCTCGACTTGTGCCGCGCCCCTCCTAATGAGGTAACACAATTTGTGATCTCGATCCGGTTAATTGAGACCTCTCGTTTCCGTCTAATCAGCCGAAGGCGACGGTCGCAACGTCAGAGTGGCGCCGCCTGTTGCCGATTGAGATGGGGAGGGGGAAGCGGAGGGGGGGGGGGGGGAGAGGTTTGAAGTGACGGGACGTCTAAAAGTCATTTGTTTTACGGAACAGCATAGCCCAACGTTAAACTGCAGGAAGACAAACCCCTTGTTTCCCGGCGATGTTGCTCCTGCCTCGAGTCTTCCTCGCTGCGAGACGCCGAGAAATTGTCAACGGGCGCAGTAGGCCGCTGCGGCACCCGTTGTCCAGGATGGTGAGCAAGCCTCGTGATCAGGAGTGCGCATATTTGGTACTCACTGCTGGCCGACGGTCACCGTCTCCCCGTTTAAACCTAGCGGAAGGCTGCGCCACTGCGAGTGACGACAGCTGTCACGTGACTGGTCCTGATGGGCCTGGTCAATGTCACACGTCAGGTCACGTCGAGCTAGCGTTGGTTACATCATATGTCAAGCTGCAGCGTGGTAGCGAGACACGCGGTCGGAGCTGGAGCGTGGGTCATGGGACACGCAGCCAGGGCTGGAGCGTGTGCCATGGGACACGCAGCCAGGGCTGGAGCGTGGGCCATGGGACACGCAGCCAGGGCTGGAGCGTGGGCCATGGGACACGCAGCCAGGGCTGGAGCGTGGGCCATGGGACACGCAGCCAGGGCTGGAGCGTGGGTTATGGGACACGCAGCCAGGGCTGGAGCGTGGGTCATGGGACACGCAGCCAGGGCTGGAGCGTGGGCCATGGGACACGCAGCCAGGGCTGGAGCGTGGGTTATGGGACACGCAGCCAGGGCTGGAGCGTGGGCCGGGGGACACGTAGCCAGAGCTGGAGCGTGGGTCGTGGGACACGTAGCCAGAGCTGGAGCGTGGGCCATGGGACACGCAGCCAGGGCTGGAGCGTGGGTCATGGGACACGTAGCTAGGGCTGGAGCGTGGGCCATGGGACACGTAGCCAGGGCTGGAGCGTGGGCCGGGGGACACGTAGCCAGAGCTGGAGCGTGGGTCGTGGGACACGTAGCCAGAGCTGGAGCGTGGGCCAGGGGACACGCGGTGATAGCTGGAGCGTGGGTCATGAGACACGCGACCAGGTTTCTCAGGCCGATGATGTTGAGTGAGCCGAGAAACATGAATGCGACCGTTAACTTGGGACAATTTGGTTGAGCTGCTATAAGTTCGGCGAGACCACAGATGATTGGTCGTTTGACACAGCTCGACCTCGAACGCAACCAGCTGAGTCCTATAGATCCTGCTCTGGAACTCCACCCTGTCACGCCGCCACCTGGCGGGAGGATGCAGGCGCGCTGAGTTATATAATATGAGAAGAGATTTCGAGGGGTTACTGGGTGGAAGAGAAGTCCCGGGGTTGGCGTGCGCCAGGAGAGGGGCGCCTACTGCACTGTCCCTCCCGAAATAATCTCCTTCATAATGACAGAGTGGCTTTCATGTGGGGAAGCGTCACCAGTGTGATTCTGCGACGGACTGTTTTCTACTGTGGTTGTCACACGGCCTCACCGTAGTAAGACAATTTGGTAGGAAATCTTCTGTCGGCAGTGCTACTCAGCCGGTGCGCTCCGCATTCGGCAGGTGGCGCCCGCATCGCACTCGCGCACAGTACTAGGACAGGTGGCGCCCGCGTCGCACTTGCGCACGGTACTAGGATAGGTGGCACTCGTGTCACACTCGCGCGCAGTACCTAGAACAGGTGGCGCTCGCGTCACACTCGCGCACACTGTTTCGGGCAGGTGGCGCCCGTGTCACGCCCGCGCTCGGTATCTTCAGAAGATCATGCCCGAGACTCCCCCGCCCCTTCTCCGGTTGACGTCCATCGCACGGTTCCACCGTGAATTACCCATTCCCTTCGCGCAGGGGTGTGATATTCCGCGAGCTGAGCGAGCTGTACGAGACGCACGCCTGCCAGGAGTACCTGGAGAACTGGCGCCAGCTGCGTCGCTACTGCGGCTACCGGCACAACCACATCCCCCAGCTGGCTGACGTGGACGCCTACCTGCGCCGTGAGCATGCCGGCAGGATCGCTCGGCTTGGCTGGAGCGCCGGAGAGCGAGCTGGAACTGCGACTGTGGGGACGGGTCTCTGCTGGCATAGGCGTGGCTGGATGGCAGTGCTGGTCATAAGGCATTTCTGAGAGCCCCAGCTAGTTGGGTCATCCCATAGTAGTGTGAATATTGAGTCTTGAGTCTGACTGATGTCTCTTCTCGCGCGTTAAAACTCACTGGAGTCGATTCACCATTTTTTTTGGAGTCCATGCAAGATGACTAACGTGGTGTGTACAGCATGGATAACGTACCTTCTGTAGATGACTTACCATGAGTTGAACCCATCACGGCTAATCGAGACGCACGCGAGTGTTCGTATGTGGCGCCGGCCCGGTTCCGTCTCCGACCGAGCCCGGCTCCGTCTCCGACCGAGCCCGGATCCTTTTCCGACCGAGCCCAGCTCCGTCCCCGGTCGAGCACGGCTCCGTCTCCGACCGATCCCGGCTCAGGCTCCGCCTCAGACTGAGCCCGGCTCCGTCTCCAACCGAGCCGCTGTACCCCTGCAGAGAGGACGGGCTTCCAGCTGCGGCCGGTAGCCGGCTACCTGTCACCACGGGACTTCCTGGCCGGGCTGGCCTTCCGGGTGTTCCACTGCACCCAGTACATCCGCCACAGCTCCGACCCGCTTTACACACCCGAACCGTGAGCTATACCTTCGGTGCATCTCAGAGCTGTGAGCTATACCCGGACGCATCTCAGAGTCGTGAGCTATGTTCCGGGCTCACCCAAGATCCCACTCGGGTTATCTCGTGCGAGGCTATTCCACTGCTTTTTCTGGTGCGGATTATGAGTTACGCCTTTGGTGCACCCCTAGAGCGAAGAGTTACGTCCACATTGTTCAACCAGGGTATGAGTTGTTACACCTCCTTAACACACAAACCGGTATCATAAGCCCCAATATGCGCCTAAATTACGAAACAAAACCGCTGAGCACCGGATGTCAGTTGCGCTCTTTATCTCTCGCGGCTACTAACATCGCTCATTGAGTGATTATGGTGTAATCAGATGTTTGTTGAATCTCACAAATCATCGGCACAAGCAGGGCTCGTTACCTTGATGTCAGCAGCCACGCGATGACCAGTGCCGTCGCAGTAGCCTCGTCGCAGTAGCCTCGTCGCGGTAGCCTCGTCGCACCAGCGTGGTCGTGACTGACCGTGTTGCTGGGCGCAGGGACTGCTGTCACGAGCTGCTGGGTCACATGCCGCTACTGGCCAACGCCAGCTTCGCACAGTTCTCGCAGGAGCTCGGACTGGCTTCGCTGGGCGCCTCCAACGAGGAGATCTCCAAGCTGGCCACGGTACGGGCTGGCACAGACCATGCAGTAGATACGCCATCGGTCATCATCACCCATGTATGTGGGTGATGACAAGACGATGACGGCTGCTTATGTGCGTTATCGTTAAAATGAATTGGGCTCGGCGACGTGCCTCGCTCGAATTCATGGAATGTAGCCTACAACACTAGTTTAACAGTGTTCTTGTTCTCAAACTAGAAGACATTTATGCTACAAAGGGTTAGCGTTTGAGCGCGCACTTAAAGGTAATGTTGCTACACGTACCGAAACGGAAATATCTGCTATAGTAACACAAAATTACAAGGACAGCGTTTGCATTGATATGTTGTGCTCTGGCACGAGAGAGAAAATTAGAGTTGCAATCTACTGACTCTCGGTATTGGAACTCATTCAATGGCCAGTAAAACCCATTACAAGTCCTGTGGAGCATAATCGCTGTGTAGAACAAAGCGCTGGGACTGTAGCAGCCGATTTTATGACTCTGGTCACAATATGAAACAAGAATGTGGATGACTTAGGTTAGCTAGGTCCGGTTGTTTGGTTACGAGTTATAACTTCATCTATTCCCATGGAAAATTCAGCCTTTAAAGAATTCGCTACAAAGATTGACTACTTGTCCATGCGCCAAGGGAAGTACTCGAAAGTTCACGATAAGGCGGTATAATGACGTCAGTTGTCTACCCTAACTGTTCCCGCCATGTCCCGTGCCAATCACAGCAGAAGCTCCTCCCGGTGAAGTTCTGTCTGATGACGTCACAGGCTACCCGACTGTTCGAACCGTACCGCTCACAGTGCTACTTCTTCACGGTGGAGTTTGGCCTGTGTCGGGAGAACGGGCGGCTGAGAGTGTACGGCGCCGGTCTGCTCTCCTCAATCGCAGAGCTGAGACACTCGCTGACACCGGCTGCCAAGGTCCGCAGGTAAACACTACACTCGCTGACACCCGTCGTCAAGGCCTGCAGGTAAACACTACATTCGCTGACACCGGTCACCAAGGACTGCAGGTTAAAACTATATTTGCTGATACCGGCCGCCACGGCCTGTAGGCAAACACTCCACACGTTGACACCGGCCGCAACGGTCTGCAGGTAAACACTACACTCGCTGACACCGGCCACCACGGTCTGCAGGTAAGCACTCCACTCGCTGACATCGGCCGTCAAGGTCCGCGGGTAAACACTACACTCGCTGACACCGGTCGCCAAGGTCCGCAGGCAAACACTGCGATCGCTGATACCGGCCGCCAAGGTCTGTAAGTAAACACTACACTCGCTGACACCGATCTCCAAGGTCTGCAGGCAAATACTCCACTCGCTGGCACCGGTTACCAAGGTCTGCAGGTCAACACTATACTCGCTGACACCGGTCATCACGGTCTGCAGGCAAACACTGCACACGCTGATACCGGCTGCCACGGCCTGTAGGCAAACACTCCACTCGCTGACACCGGCCGCCAAGGTCCGCAGGTAAACACTACACTCGCTGACACCGACTGCGAAGGCCCGCAGGCAAACATTGCAATTGCTGACACCGGCCACGGAGGTGGCCGGTGTCAGCGAGTGACGAAGGCATCAAACCTTTATGTCCGATATCCTGGATATGAGATAAACAACTCAAGCGTTAACATTCAAGCCCGGTGTCTCGGCGAACATTGCATCACTTGGCCATCGAGACACCATGTTTTGCGCGGAGACTGCGCTAAGGCCTGACTACTTAGCACTACCCGACCCCTGCGATCGCTGCATGTTCTTTAGACAATTGTCACCTACAGAGGTCACGCACTCATGACCAGGTCATGCGCATGAGGCCGGATGATATTTGTCAGCTGATTCTGTGTTAGGAACATTGACGGCTTTTCTGTTCTTCGTAACATGCGAAGGGAATTAAGTGCGACCATGTTGGTTTGAAACATCTACAACATACCCCTACCTAGCGTAGTAGCACCAGCTTTGTTAACCTGCTCGTCTTGTTAAGAAACGATATGACATATCGTGGTATGTCACGTGTTATTTCACCCTTGTTATCAGATCTCAGATCTAACATCTCTAACATATCCCCACCTCCCATAGCAACGCCGGCTTTGCTAACCCGCTCGTCTTGTCAAGACACGATATGACATGTCGTGACATGTCACGGATTTGTCACCCTTGTCGTCAGATTTGATCCTGACGTGACGTGCACAGAAGAGTGCATCATCACGGCCTTCCAGAACGTTTACTTCTATACGGACACGTTTGAGGAGGCCAAGGAGAAAATGAGGTAGGTAGGCCCTGCCGATTAGCTGCTGTGAATTGTTTCTACAGCTCCCATCAATCCTGAATACAAACGAAACCAGACAACCAAAAACATTTTTGTTTTGTCATGGCATTTTCTCTTTTAGCACGTGTATGATACTCGGTGGCACGATGACGTTTGGAAGTGGCCACTTGCGTCTACTTCAGGTAACCACTTGCTCCACAACTAACCTCCTGTTTCATTGTTTGGCGGTAGTTCGGTCAAAATTATGCGTTAAACAATTTCATCGTCTGTAGATGATGACTCTGAGCAGAGCTGTGCTTTCTGGGCTCTGGGCAAAATTTGCACCTATTAATTTCACGTCCTGTACAGCTCTCTTTCTCTCAGGTGTTAAGCCATGCCTTCCGCCGTGCCCATGAGCCCCTCCTACAACCATCTCCCCGGTGACCACCGGCGGCGGCGACGACCGCTCAAGACCCGATAACCCGGCTAAGGGACTGCCCGCTGTTAGCGATAGTTCGGCGGCGCCCCCAGCGGGTGCAAACGGGACTCTGAGAGCCCAGTGTACCAGGGGTTTACTGTTGAGCGCCTCAGGTAGTGAAAGCACGGAAAGCACGCGGGGCCAGCGTTAGCGCGGGTCCCCGCACGCGTCTAACCACGTTGGTGCCGTGTTGTGTTTGCTTTATTCAGCCCACGCGAATGCAACGAGGGCTGCGGTCCCACCCTTGCCTCGAACGCCTTTGTGGTTTATTCCTAACTGTAGGTGATCTGCCCAAAGCAAGGGGCGTAATGGCCGAGTGGTTAGAGTGTCGGACTACCACGTGGGGGGCCGGGCTCGAGTCCCGGTTGCACCATGGCTCGTGATTGCTGATATGGTCAGTACAGTCACTGGCGCTCCATAAAACAAATAAGCAAACGATGTATGTCGCGTTCTTAAAACAAATCAACCCAGAGCATGAAAGACCATTGCCCCAAAAAGCTGATGTCACCGTGGGGTTTCTCAGATAATAACTGGTGGCTTGATCCGGAGCACAAGCAGATATACAGATTTTGCTGGTCGCTATAGTAGCTGATGTTCATCGGGCTCCAACCATCCGGAGTAACATGAGCTCTAGCAATTGAATACACCCTGTCAGTGGCGCCACAAGAGCCACGCGGGCAGCGGCGGCGCCGGTGTTGTGAGCGCCATCCGGTTAGTAGCTGATGTTCATCGGGCTCCAACCATCCGGGGTAACATGAGCTCTAGCAATTGAGTACAGCCGGTCAGAGGCGCCACGAGGACCACACGGGCAGCGGCGGCGCCGGTGTTGTGAGCGCCATCCGGTTAGTAGCTGATGTTCATCGGGCTCCAACCATCCGGAGTAACATGAGCTTTAGCAATTGAATGCACCCTGTCAGAGGCGCCACAAGAGCCACGCGGGCAGCGGCGGCGCCGGTGTTGTGAGCGCCATCCGGTTAGTAGCTGATGTTCATCGGGCTCCAACCATCCGAGTAACATGAGCTTTAGCAATTGATTGCACCCTGTCAGAGGCGCCACAAGAGCCACGCGGGCAGCGGCGGCGCCGGTGTTGTGAGCGCCATCCGGTTAGTAGCTGATGTTCATCGGGCTCCAACCATCCGGAGTAACATGAGCTTTAGCAATTGAATGCACCCTGTCAGAGGCGCCACAAGAGCCACGCGGGCAGCGGCGGCGCCGGTGTTGTGAGCGCCATCCGGTTAGTAGCTGATGTTCATCGGGCTCCAACCATCCGGAGTAACATGAGCTTTAGCAATTGAATGCACCCTGTCAGAGGCGCCACAAGAGCCACGCGGGCAGCGGCGGCGCCGGTGTTGTGAGCGCCATCCGGTTAGTAGCTGATGTTCATCGGGCTCCAACCATCCGGGGTAACATGAGCTTTAGCAATTGAATGCACCCTGTCAGAGGCGCCACAAGAGCCACACGGGCAGCGGCGGCGCCGGTGTTGTGAGCGCCATCCGGTTAGTAGCTGATGTTCATCGGGCTCCAACCATCCGGGGTAACATGAGCTCTAGCAATTGAGTACAGCCGGTCAGAGGCGCCACAAAAGCCACACGGGCAGCGGCGGCGCCGGTGTTGTGAGCGCCATCCGGTTAGTAGCTGATGTTCATCGGGCTCCAACCATCCGGGGTAACATGAGCTTTAGCAATTGAGTACAGCCGGTCAGAGGCGCCACAAAAGCCACACGGGCAGCGGCGGCGCCGGTGTTGTGAGCGCCATCCGGTTAGTAGCTGATGTTCATCGGGCTCCAACCATCCGGGGTAACATGAGCTCTAGCAATTGAGTACAGCCGGTCAGAGGCGCCACAAAAGCCACACGGGCAGCGGCGGCGCCGGTGTTGTGAGCGCCATCCGGTTAGTAGCTGATGTTCATCGGGCTCCAACCATCCGGAGTAACATGAGCTTTAGCAATTGAATGCACCCTGTCAGAGGCGCCACGAGGACCACACGGGCAGCGGCGGCGCCGGTGTTGTGAGCGCCATCCGGTTAGTAGCTGATGTTCATCGGGCTCCAACCATCCGGGGTAACATGAGCTCTAGCAATTGAGTACAGCCGGTCAGAGGCGCCACGAGGACCACGCGGGCAGCGGCGGCGCCGGTGTCGTGAGCGCCGTTTGGTCTCCGCAGGGCGTTCGCTGCTACAATTCATCGGCCGTTCGGCGTTCGCTACAACCCGTACACGCATTCCGTGGACGTTTTGTCCAGCACTCAGAAGGTGGCGGCGCTGGTGTCCGAGCTCCGCGGCGACCTCTGCATCGTCACCAACGCCCTCAAGTGAGTAGCGCCCGAACGCGACCCGGCGCGGGGACGTCGCGTGGCAACACGTGGGGCCTCGGGCTGGTGTGGGGGAAGAAAGATCTGGGAAGTAGTTGGCTAGGTCGGTACAAGGAGTATCCCTTTTAAGTGGTTGGAAGTACGAATGACGCCACTTTTACACTTGTCAAAACCATGGCCTTACGACCGCTTCCACACATATAGATTAAGAGAGTGACCGAGCCATCATATAGCGAGCATTTCGCAGATAGCTTAGTGGGATTTCCACTGAGTCTGGCAAAGCTATTCTGCGAATGACCGCCTGCCTAACATGCAGCGATAACCAGCATTTCTTTTCCACGCAGAAAGATCCAGGAAAATGACGAAGATGCTGACATCGAGGGCATCACGAGTCTGCTGTCAGCAGCGTTGCCGGCAGATACGGCCCGAACACCAACACCGCCCTCTGCCGCCACTCCAGACCTCTCGCCCAATCAGTCGCCGCCAGAGAAGACAGACTAGGCGCTTGTTGGCCCGCCCTTCGCCGCCACTCCCGACTTCTCGCCCAACTAGTCACCGCCAGAGAAGACAGCCTAAGCGCTTGTTGGCCCGTCGCACGCCTACGTCAGCCTGCGCCTAAGCAGAAGCAGACGCAGGCTGAATAGGCGCGACGGGACAGAATGTAGTGCTGTCACATTCGCTGTTAATGTGATAGATGGGATGACTTTTGTTGATCCTTATCTCAGTCATCCCGTCAAATGACACCACTGCACATGGTCTGATCAGTCCCTGGTCACCAGCGCTGCATGATACCAACATTTGCCGGCATGGCAGCCAAATTGGTGGTCTTTTTATCTGAAGTCTTGCCTTGCGGGTCTCACAATCTAACCAGATGCCCGCCGGAAGGAATATCTTTCGGCTGTGAAAATTCGCTTCCGCCAGGTGCCAGTCCGACGCTCTCGTGCGCTGCCGACCGTGGTGAGATGGGTTTGCTGGATCTTCAGAACGGTTTCCATGGCAACCTGAGCAGCTCGGCCCGCTTTCTTAACTTATTTGGGGATGCTTTTGAAATGACATCCACATAACACTGCTGAAAACGACAAACAAATAATCAGTCACGGCCACGACTTATATCTGGATTTCGTAACTGGGGCACATGAAGAGGCATTTTCACGAAGCCTTATGGTGCACTATGTCACGAGCCAGTGTGCAAGGTCACGAAAGTCCCGCGGCTGTAAAACGGTTTCAGGCAGTTTCAAACCACAGCTGGCACTATGGGAGTAGTCTACTTTACTTCCATTGACACACCCGCTTTCGCGAGAGACATGTGTTAGGTTTTTAGATCGAACTTTGAGCGACAAAACCGTGTAGATATTGTACGTGACTTCATGTGAGGATGCCAAGGCATTCGTTACTCGTAATTGTAAACGAGATGGGACCAAGCTGGAATTAAGGGACCAAATATGATGTTTCGCATTTCATTCTCGCATGATGGTTGTTGATCGCTGTGTTTGTGCTCACGGGTGAAGAATGGTGACAAATGACAGTGGGTAAAGCACACAAGCACGGAGATCTTGTCTTGGAAAAAAATTAAAACACTGGGATTACCGGTGAAAATGACACTAGAAAAAAAAACTAGAGCTGAAATGCCTTTCAGCAGGGCGGCTCACCCACTGCATTCTCCGCCCACGCTGGTGCTGGCCCATTGTTAAGCGGTTACCTGTTCTATGTCCATGTCAATGTGGCTTCCTGCATGCAGTCCTTGTTATTGCATATCCCGACAGTCCAGAGGGGCGGACTAGTTGATGTGTATGATGTAATCGTTTGATGTAATCAAGAACGACGCACTACTGTTATCACAAATGGCTTATATGTTCTGCACGACTGCACCACTGCGTTATCTGCAGTGCCATCTATCTGAAGTGCAGTCGCTTGTGCTTGTTGTGGATCAGGCGTATGCCTCGCCTGCGGTGCGGGTGGCCACTCGAGAACATCTGTACTATCACTGGAATGGCTCGCGTGGTGGCAGTGATTGTGCTCTGCAGTCTCTTGTGCGTCCCTCCCGAGACACCGGTGGCGTGATGGCCCACCCCTCCCGAGACACCGGTGGCGTGATGGCCCACCCCTCCCGAGACACCGGCGGCGTGATGGCCCACCCCTCCCGAGACGCCAATAGTGTGATGGCCCACCCCTCCCGAGACACCGATGGCGTGATGGCCCACCCCTCCCGAGACACCGGTGGCGTGATGGCCCACCCCTCCCGAGACGCCAATAGTGTGATGGCCCACCCCTCCCGAGACACCGGTGGCGTGATGGCCCACCCCTCCCGAGACACCGGTGGCGTGATGGCCCACCCCTCCCGAGACACCGGTGGCGTGATGGCCCACCCCTCGCGAGACACCGGTGGCGTGATGGCCCACCCCTCCCGAGACACCGGTGGCGTGATGGCCCACCCCTCGCGAGACACCGGTGGCGTGATGGCCCACCCCTCTCGAGACACCGGTGGCGTGATGGCTCACCCCTCCCGAGACATCGGTGGCGTGATGGCCCACCCCTCCCGAGACACCGGTGGCGTGATGGCCCACCCCTCCCGAGACACCGATGGTGTGATGGCCCACCCCTCCCGAGACGCCAATAGTGTGATGGCCCACCCCTCCCGAGACACCGATGGTGTAATGGCCCGCCCCTCCCGAGACGCCAATGGCGTGATGGCCCACCCCGTGGTAGCATGTGGCGACAATGTGCTTACACGTAGTATATCGGCAGCGAAAGCCCACTCTCGTCTCGATGTCAGCCGTTCCCTTTTGCCCCGCACGTCGCTTTTGCACGCAAATTTTTCCGAACTAACGAACGACTCAAACAGCCAATCACAACTTGGTTCGGCGTGCCGTTGTGTCTGCTGAACCACCACGGCGAATGTCCCTCGCTTCCGCCATGCTGAGTGCGCGGGTGAATTCATGTGCGTAGCCACTCATGTATGAACGTCGTTCGTATTCTTCTGTTCATGTGAGCGTAGGCAGTCAGCTCACCAAGCCAGTACTTGTGAGGTCAGTCGGAGCAACTGTATGTGCCGAGAAACGTCACTATGTGAAGGCGATTGTTAATGTGAACGTGAACGCGACAGCTCACACGCTTACATTCCGGATTACGGATCACATTCCGACGGTGACTAGCTGCACATCACGTTTATTTCAACCTGGACTTTGTACATCGCGGGTAAAGTCTGGGTATATTACCCCTTCCGCACAAGACTTATGTCACTGATACAATATCTCCCGCTGGAGCTGATTCATGCGAAGACATTGTCTGCCGTAGAACTTGACGTCTGTTCATTGGCATGTGTGTATGTGTGTGTGTGTGTGTGAGTGTGTGTGTGTGTGTGCGTGTGTGTGTGTGTGTGTGTGTGTGTGTGTGTGTGTGTGTGTATGTGTGTGTGTGTGTGTGTGTGTGTGTGTGTGTGTGTGCGTGTGTGTGTATGCGAATTTTGTTGTGATTAGCCATAACACTTAACTTGTCCGACTTACTGCATACGGCAGAGGTTGAATGAAGAGCTGCAGTCTCTATAAGATTTACATTGATCATCTCGTTATTGATTCTAGCAAGATTCCGGCCAGTATGCTTTTTGTCCCGATTTTGCGAATGCGCTTAACTAAGCCGAGCGTTAAAGAAGCGCGTTAAGCTTCCGAATTCAACCCAATCGATCTTTAAAAGTGTTCCCTCACTCTTGATCTGAATGGCGTATGGCCGATTCTGGAGTTATTTCCGGTTATTTAGAAAAGGGAGCACGAGTGTTGCCCGCTCAACAGACTAGCTAGGCATGCATCAAACGACAGGGAAGCCAAAGGTGTGAACTGTTTCTTGTCAAAGGTGTCCACTGACATAAGCTATGTGTTATTAGACTTTTGATGAAAAAAGTCCGGTAGGGTTCGCATTACAACGAATAATATTTCCGGTGTAATTGTATGTGGCCACGGCTGGCCTTAGTTACTCGTCGCAGTTGCTGGGATATACCGCTCTTAAACGACCTTGTTTTCTGTCTGATGGATAAATGGCGAACGAAGTGAAATTATGGCTGAACGGTGAAATGGTGTCTGCATTCCGCATATCACATATGCATGGTGCACAGGAATGGTGGAATTCTGCAGAAACCGTATTGCTGTTGAAACTGTCTGTACCTCGAATACGGTTGCGTAACTCACTGCTCCTGTGTTGGCCAACTCACTGTCCTGTCAACGACATCCGGTCCCTCCATTGACCAACAATCTGGTACAGCTGGCCAAGAGATTCGCCAAATGCGTCGCGGCATCCCTCCATCCGCGGGCGGCGCAGCCCAGAGCCATGGGTGACTTCAGCACCTGCGGGCGCTGAAGCCAGCCAGGTGCCTGCCGAAGTTGACCAGGTTCACATGTTGTGTGCATACAAGTCGATAGGAGTTCGTCTGAGCCTGCCGGCGTGAATGCTTTCCTGCCGCACGTCGGTGTCTTTGTCCCGGACCCGCTCTGCGTGGTGGCGCGCCGCTGATGTGGGGCGTTTGACTTGGGGGGGGGGGGGAGGCAGGGACTTCGGCCCGATGGCCCACCCACCCCCTCCTGTGAGATGCTGCACGGGGGACGGGGGGGGAAGTGGCGGCCCGACGGCCCACCCTTCCGTGAGAGGCTGCACTGGGGGGGGGGGGGGGGGCGGCCCGCTCCCCCCTCGTGAAAGGCTGCACTGGGGGAAGGCCGGCGCCCCTGCACGGGGGCCGCACGGCCCCCCTCCCGTGAGAGGCTGCACAGGAGAAGGGCGGCGGCCTCACCCCTCGTGAGAGACTGCACTGGGCGGGGGGGGGGGGGGGGGGGGGGGGGGCTTGCGATATTCCGTTCTCCAATGGCTCTCCGGGCCTCCAGTGCACTCTGCTGCCGGCCCTTTGCTTACAATACAATTTGCTGAATGGTATGCATTTGCGCTGAAAATGACCCCTTTAAAAGGGCACATGCATTCTACGGTGTTGCATTTCCTACAATATAGTGCTGTAGCCATTGGCAGCCCCTCTAGCTTTCGCCAGTCGTTTTCAAAAAGTGTTCTGATGCAATATAGCGATTATATTCGCTCATCACATGTGCTAGATACAACATAGCCACGTTAGTTTTAGCATTGGTCTCTGTTTGCCCTGGATAAGACATGGCTGGGAAAACTATTTTTGTTCAATCAAAACAACTTTCCGTGTGCGGGCATAAGCGCGGTGCAGATGCCTTTAATATACATCATAACCTTAAAAGAGACTTCCATGTTGCTCCAAAAGGGGTGCCAAAATCACCCGCCACATTTTGGTTTGTGCCGTTTTCCCTCACACTTGGCATCCACTCCTTTCGCATTACCGACGCAAAAGCTAACTGCGCGGCGGTCAGCTGATTACGCAGAAATGTGGAAGGTCGCCAATACGCCCAGTTCGTCGAACGGTGGCGTCTAAAAACCGCTGCCAGCCCGGCGACGGTTGGACGTCAGCCAATGGCAACCAACGCTAACCAACGACAACCAACGACAATCGGCGCCAATCGGCGTGTGAGACCGACAAGGTCTGCTGGCGCTTCCGTCACATGCGCGTCACTCTTCCCGCCGCCCGTGCGCCACACATGTGACCGGACGGGACTAGACCA